TGCGTGTGGATGTGCGTAAAAAAAATTTTTTTTTTTTTTTCAAGATCCAAACAATGAATTTTACTAGCGTTCCTGCTAGCAAATTTTTTTTTTTTCTTTAATACACCGCATCTAACAAATAATAATAATGATAATGATGATGGTGTTGATGATGATGATAATAATAATAATTCATTTGTAAACAATAATGATACGTCGAACAAACATTTACGTCGCGGGGTACGCTTGAAATTTCAAGAGTAAAAAATTATTCATTAATACGAATGACGTTTACATTTTACTTTTTACATTTCCTCCCTTTTTACCACCCCACTACCCTTCCCTTTTACCATCCTTCTCCTCCCTCCTTCAAATTAAATTTTATAATACTTATTATTATTATTATCATTTTCCCGAATGACGACGCCATTCAATTTTTAAAACACTTTTAAAATGAGACTATAAAAAAAAAAAAAAATTTTAAAAAAATAATATTTACATATCTCGTACATAAAGGTTATTCCCTCCCTTCATCCCCTCCCCTCTCCTTCCTCTCCTTCATTCCCTTTCCTTCTTCCTTCCCCACCTCTTCCTCCTTCCAAATTTTTTTTCATTTTCTTCCTTATTAAATGTCACCATTTATTTCAATCGCACACAAATCTTTTGAAATTTAAAAAAAAAAAAAAAAAAAAAAATTGTTTTTTTTTCTTATTCCACCATTTTGACTTTTGCACTTCTTATTCATCCATCCTTTTCTTTTTCCTTCTTTCCTTCTTTCTTTCCTTCTTTTTTTCTTTTCTTTGATTTTCCTCCAAATTGCCAAATCCTCGTAAAAAATGCAAATTTTTAAATTAAATTTTTTATTTTTTTTATTCGTTTTAAATTTAAAAACTGAAATCGTAACAAATTAAAAAAAGAGATTGTTGTCACATTCGGAAAAAAATTTATGACGTCATAGAGAAAAATTTCGTTAAAGTTTATATTTTATTTAACGTAAAATAATTAAAAAATTAAGGTGGGTCATGAAAAATATTTTTGTACCTGTAAAGTTTTTGAACCTTAAAAAAAAAAAAAAAACAAACCAAACGTGACGTTTCATAACAATAAAAATTTATGTATTCGTTTTCTTTCTCTCTCTCTCTCCCTCCCTCTCCTTCCCTCCCTCTCTCTCTCTCTCTCTCTCTCTCTCTCTCTCTCTCTTTCACGTCTGTTTCTTTTATGAATACGCAACGATAAAATATATATAATATTTAAAAATAATAACAATATCGATGAGGAAAAAACATACAAAAAATATTTGTTAAATCATTCGTATATTATGATAAAAGTAATAAATGTATATAATAACACTTAATAATGATTTTTTAATTATGAGAAAAAAACATTTTGAAGTTATTATTATTATTATTAATGACGGTAATAATTTATAATTTTTTTTTTTCAGAAGATTTCATTAGGAATCGGCGAGGAAAACAAAAAAAAAAGGAGAAAAACATTTCAATATGATTTTAAACGTGTTTTGCTTATGGATAATCAGCATATTTCATTTATCATATGAAAAGTCGACAGGAGGTAAATTTTTTTTTTGTAAAATTTTTTTTCACGAACCTCCTCTTATTTCTTTTTATTTTCTTTGTTTTTTTTTTTTTTTTTTTAATCCCGTCTTCAGCTAGTAAAAATTATCAAAATCATGGGTTATGACATTTTTTTTTTTTTTTAAATTATTTTTTCACTTTTTAAACTCATTTTTCAATCGAATCCAAAAAAAATAAGTCACGTGGTTTTATTTATTTAAATAAATGAATTTGATTTTTTTTTAAAATTATTTCCTTTTGCGTCTTCTGCTTTTCGAATTAAATCGTGAAACTAGAGAAAAATACGATAACGAAATTTTCTTTTCATTATGATTTTCCTCCTCATGCAGAACAAACAAACAAACAAACAAACGATTCACGTTTCATTAGCTAAATAATAATAGTAATAATAATAATAATAATAAATCTCATACGTAATAATTATGAATCGCGATAAATAATAATACCTGTAAAAAAAAAAAACTAACTAACATTAATTTATTCTTTTGTTAAAAATTTTTTTTTTGGATGACCGCAAAAAGGTTAAAAAATGTTATTACAACACGCACACGCACACACACACACACACAAAATGATTCATTCTAAATGGAATGTTTAAATGACATGTTCGAGGTGGATAAAAACAAATCAATTGTCTTCTGCTTTTAAAATTATTATTATTATTATTATTATTATTATATTTAATGAATTTTTTATTGCGTGTCATACGAATAAAATAATAATATATATATATTTAATTTTTTTGCTGCTGCATATCGATTAATTAAAATATTAATCCAGGGGAAAGAGATAGAGAGAGAGTGAGAGAGAGAGAGAAAAAAAATCAGGTTTAAGTAGTAGAAAATGAAAATTTAATAATAATAATAATAATAATGATAAATTCCAATTTTGTTATTGAATTGAATTCCATTTATATCCGAACCAGATATTGTTCATTTAATTTAAAGAAAAAAAACTTTTTTTTTTTTCTTTCAGGTTTAGGTTCGCGTCAGGTTTTGTTTTTTCGATTTATCGATTATTGATTATTATTAACCGGAGGCAACAAGAGAAAAAAATTTGTTTTTTGTTGTTGTTCCATGTCACTGATACCCAGATTTAAATCCCGTATAATTTTTTTTTTTTTGCTATCGTTTACATTTTTTAAATCCAATTTAGAAAAATATTTCTTTTCGTTTTTTTTTTTTTTGGGGGGGGGGGCGGAAGAGGAAGACCCTTTGGGGGGGTTTAATTTAAGAAAAAAGTCGAATTGTTATTAATAACTTAATTTTTTCATAAATTTACATAAAACAAATCGATATAATAATTATTTTTTGCAAAATAATTTTTTAAACGTTTAAATAAATTTGTTTAAAATAATATGTACGTCTCCCTCTTCCCTCCCTCTCCGTCCCTTCCCTACTCTTGCTCACATTTCCTTTATTCTGGTAATAAATAAATAAAAAATAAAAAAGGTCAAAGGTTATAATAAAAATTTTTTCTCGCGTCAAATATACAAAAAAATTTTATTAATTATTAAATAATTTTTATAAAAAAAAACATTTAAATAATCGCAGTAGTTCTTTAAAATAAATAAATTATTTTTATCAATAAAAAAATTTTTTCCAAAACAAAAAATGATAGGAAAGTGATAAGAAATTACATAAATAAAAAATAAATTTTTATGATTTTATTGATTTTTTTTTTACTCCCACGACGAAAACAACACGAAAAAAAATAAAGTTTATTTATTTATTTTAATTTTTACATAATAACAAAATTATAAATTTAGCATAAAAGATAAAAATTAAAAACCGGAAACGGATGTTTAAAAAAAAAATTAAAATAAATAAGCTATTTCATATTATTATTATTATTTAAAATAAATCAATGAATTATTTAAAAAAAAAAAAAATCAAATTAAATTTTAATTTCAATTATAATAAATTTCGTTTTAATTAATTATTTTACGTACCTCTTCCCTCTTCCCCTTTTCTCCTCTCCACTTCTCCTCCCCTCCCCTCCCCTCCCCTCCTTCCCCCTCCCCCTTCTCAAGATTTTAAATTTAAATGTTTAAGTGAAAAATAAAATTTTCTTTTTTTTTTTTTTTCGTTCCGGTTGTTAGGTAATCAAAATGCATTTAAAAAAGATTTTTTTTTAATGTTGTTAAAGGATTATTAATTAAATATTATTAAAATGTTATTAACGCGCACAACCATCCTTACATAAATAAATAAATAAAAAACATTTTCGGGATAAGATGTCGATAAAAATAGGTAAAGTAATTGTCGTTATTGTTTGTTGTTGTCGTTGTTGTTGTGACTGGTTGTTGGTTCTTCTCTTGGTACTGTTGGTGTTTTGTAATTGAATTTTCTGCTCCTGATAGTAATACGAAATATTATTATTATTATGCGGTTTGAATATATTTGAAAAACCACTTATAATTTTCTCATCTTTTCAATTTATCTCCGTTAATATGCACGCTTGTGAAGTGAATTTAAAACATCAATCCTTCCCCACCCCCCACCTCCTCCACCTTCTCATATCATTTCAATATCAGAAACTTGTTGAAATTTAAAACATAAAATTGTTTATGACAGATATATTCAATTGTTTGTTCATTCGAAATTATATTTTATCATCATTATTATTATTATGATTATTATTTATTTTTCTCTTTTTTTATTATTATTATGATTCGTATAATAATAATAATAAGAGCGTAATAGATTATAGATAGATGTGACGATAATGTGGGAATTTTTTCTTTTTTTATTAATAATTTTTTTTTTTTTGAATTATTAAAAAAAAAGTCGTGGCGTTAGAATTTATTTATTTATTTGGCGCCCCCAGTGAACGGGGTCGCATTCAACAGCAGCAACAAACACCACAAAAATTTATAATTATATTATTTACGCGACATAAAAAAAAAACCTTTTTCTCTTTTTTTTTTTTTTTAATGAAATTTATTATGAAATTCCAACGTTTTTGTTTGTTTTATAAAAAAAAAAAATATATATTCGTGTCATAAATAATAATAATAATGATAATAAAAAACAAAAAGAAAAAAATGGGGAGTCCGCGGAGTTAACCTATCACAACAACTTTTTTATTAAAAAAAAAAAGTGAATCGTAAATAAAAAATTTTTGTATGAAATTTTTTTTTTGCTCTCGTTATTAACTTTAAGAGTCGAATAATTATATATATTAATAAAAGGTCATCGACCCCCGTGCCGAAAAAAAAACAAACAAACAAACGGTAAATAGTATTTCGTTAGATTTATTTTTATTATTTATTGATTTATTTGTTTGCTTTAAAAATTGTTACCAATTAATTTTTTTTTTAATGAGAAGGATTTAAATAATAATAAAAAATTTATTTTAATCGAAATTGCTAGAAGGAAAATTTAATATAAAAAAATATTTTCTTGTTGGAAAACGTTAAGCAAGATGGCAAGAATTCAAAATAATGATGAAAATATAAGTTTTATAACTTTTAGAAGGTTCATTTTCGATCATGATCTAAATATTTTCACACGTTTTTGATAATTAATAAAATCGTTTTATATTTTCGAAAAAAGGAAAATAATTTTCCCCCTTGTACGTTTGTTTATTATTATTAGTCTGTATTTAATTGATTATTATTATTATTTTCAGACAGAAGGTATCGACAATTAGGAGAAGTAGATTATAATCATAATTTTAAATGTAATTCAGAAGGATTTTATGCCGATCCAAGTAATTGTAGGACGTTTTACCGTTGTGTCGATGTTAATTCCAATGACTTTACGAGGGAAAATTTAAAACCTCAATATTTAGCATATCGATTCGAATGTGGAGAAGGAACGGTTTTTGATCCGGATTTAAATGTTTGTAATCATGCTGAAGACACTGCAAGGAGTGAATGCGGTGGCAGACGACACCACGGATCGAATAAAAACAAACCTTCGAATGGAAATCAACCATACGATCCGGCGAATCCTCAAAATCCTTCGAATAATCAATCTCCGTTATCAAACGGCCCGAACGCAAATTCTAATAATATGTGTCAAGGTCCGGGTTTTTATCCGGTTCAAGGGAATTGTCAAAAATACATTAGATGCGTTGAAAATGGTAACGGAGGTTTTAATAAATTTGAATTTACATGCGGACCGGGAACGGTGTGGGATCAAGCTTCCATGACGTGTAATCATCCTTCTGCCGTGCCAGGATGCGGTGCGCCTAACGAATCATCCGGCCCAGGAAATTATCCTGATTACGGAGAATATCCAGATGGAGAAAATGTTGACTATTCGCAACCATCTGGTCCAGAAAATTATCCGAACTCAGGTGGACAACCAGGGCAAGCGCCTTACCCAGGAGTTGGAAATAATCCGAATCAAGGACAATATCCAAGGCCTGGATATCCTCCCAATCAGGGAAACTCTCCGTACCCTTCAAATTCACCAAATCAAGGACAAAATCCAGGGAATTATCCCAATCAAGGACCTTATCCGGGGTCTGGAAATTATCCAAATCAAGGGCAATATCCAAAACCTGGAAATTATCCCAATCAAAGCCCGAGTCCAGGCCCCGGAAATTATCCTAATCAGGGTAACTCTCCAAATTATTCAGGCCCACCCAATCAAGGACAATATCCAGGGAATTATCCCAATCAAGGACCTTATCCAAATCAAGGGCCAAATCCAAGCTCTGGAAATTATCCCAACCAAGGAAATTATCCGAATTCTCCAAATCCACCACCTTATCAAGGGCAAAGTCCGGGTCCAGGAAATTATCCGAATCAAGGACAATATCCAAAACCTGGAAACTATCCTAATCAAGGAAATTATCCGAATTCTCCAAACCCACCACCCAATCAAAAACCAAGTCCAGGCCCAGGAAATTATCCGAATCAAGGTCCTTATCCAGGGTCTGGAAATTACCCCAATCAAGGGCCAAATCCAGGCCAAGGAAATTACCCCACTCAAGGACCTTACCCAGGATCTGGAAATTATCCGAATTCAGGCGGTCCCCAAAACCTTGGATCTTATCCAGGAGGTAGCTCTTATCCGAACCAGGAGAATTACCAAGGGCCTGGAGAGCAGCCTAATCAACCTGAAGAAAATTCGTCAGAAGATTGTCCATCTTCTGGCTTTTTTGGTGTTCCGGGAAATTGTAATAAATTTGTAAGGTGTGTCGAAAATGATCAAGGTGGTTACACTAAATACGAATTTCAATGCAGCCCAGGTACCGCTTGGGATTCTAATCTTCAAACATGTAATCACGCGTCTCAGGTAGAAGGATGTAATGCGTCTGAAAATCCTCCAGAGCAAGAAAATAATAAACCCGACCAAACACCATCTACATCTAAACCAGGCAGTTCAAGCAATAAAGATAACTCACAGTGTGAAAGTGAGGGATTTTTTGAAGTAAAAGGCGATTGTAAAAAATTTTATCGCTGTGTCGATAACGGAAACAATATGTATGTGAAGTATGATTTTGAGTGTGCTGAAGGTACAGTTTGGGACCAATCAATTCAGGCATGTAATCACCCATGGGCTGTAAAAAGAAATGATGCCAACTGTGGATCTTCTCAAACTGAACCACCAAATGAAACAATGACCACCCAGTCTACAAGTCCTTCTACGCCTTCTAGTTCATCACAATTAACTTCGTCGACATCTTCACAATCGACAACTTCAAGTCCCACATCTTCAAGTTCCGCGCCTTCAAGTTCCACGACTTCAAGTTCCATGCCTTCAAGTTCCACGCCTTCAAGTTCCACGACTTCAAGTTCCATGCTTTCAAGTTCCACGACTTCAAGTCCAATGTTTAGTCAAACTAGTTCTGGCACAACTACATCAATGCCATCGACTAGTCAATTACCATCTACCCAGCAGAATCAGAACCAGACACAAACTCAAACTTCGGAATCAAGTTCAACGACTCAACAAAATCAACAAACCACTTCCACTCCATCAATGCCTTCGTCAACCAGTTCATCAACAACTCGAAAACCCACGACAAAAATGCCATCTAAAGAAAAAGACCCATCAATGCCTATACCAGGCAGTATGCCGTGTAATTTTACTGAAAAAATGCCAGGTCCAGTAAAATGTGAGAAAGCAGGCTTTTTGCCAGACCCCAATGATTGCAAAAAGTTTTATAGATGTGTAGATTGGGATGGTGATCAGGGAGAGAAGTTTTCGATATACTCTTTTGAATGTGGTCCTGGTACAATTTGGGATCCTACTTTAGAAACCTGTAATCATGAGAATTCTGTTTATCCTAAAAGAGACTGTTCAAATAAGGATAGTGAACAACCATCATCTACACCTTCAGAATCATCTTCACCAACCCCAAGTACAATGAGTACAATGATGACAGATATGTCTGAGCCATCTTCTACTCCAATGACTACTGAGAATCCTGAGGAAGTAACGACAAAAATGACTCCAACTGATAAAGCTGAAACAACTACAGAGGCAATGACTGAACCTGCAACAACAGAAAGTTCTGAAGAAACAACAACAAATCCAAGTTCAACAGAGCCCACGACTATGAAAAGTACGGACTCTGAATCCTCTGAGCCTACTTCTACAAGCTCAACAGAAAGTATGACTTCGGGTTCTACTGAGCCTACAACTGAGTCTACGACCCCAGACTCTACCGAAATGATGACCTCTGGTTCAACGGAATCAACAACTTCCGTATCTTCGGAATCAACGACTACAGCTTCTACAGAGAGCATGACTTCTACTTCAACAGAAAGTATGACATCAGACTCTACAGAGAGTATGACTTCTACTTCAACGGAGAGTATGACTTCAGGTTCAGCGGAGAGCATGACATCAGATTCCACAGAAGCCATGACTTCAACTTCTACAGAGAGCATGACTTCAGGTTCAACGGAAAGCATGACATCAGACTCTACAGAGAGTATGACTTCTACTTCAACAGAAAGTATGACTTCTACTTCGACAGAGAGTATGACTTCTACTTCGACAGAGAGTATGACTTCTACTTCAACAGAAAGTATGACTTCTACTTCGACAGAGAGTATGACTTCTACTTCAACAGAGAGCATGACTTCTACTTCAACAGAGAGCATGACTTCCACAATGGAACCTACAACTCCAAACTCTTCAGAAAGTACAACTTCAGATTCTACCGAATCCACGACTCCAAACACTTCTGAAAGTACAACTCCAGGATCGACCGAGTCGATGACTTCAACTTCCACCGAACAAACAACCACGGGTTCTACAGAACCTACGTCGACAAGTCCTCAGGAATCTACAACATCTGATTCAACAGAAACATCTCCCACTACTGAACCAACCACCCAAATGACCACCTCACGCCCAACAGATGAAACTGATCAAACAGAATCAAGTTCGGGTACAACGACTTCGAGTCAAACAGAACCAAATGAATCTACAACATCAACAACATCAACAACACCATCACCAGATAATTCAGAAAATCCCGATTGTCCAAAACTAAAAGAAGGCCAATCAGTATTCGTTTGTCCAACAAGTTTTAAAAGGCATCCGAAAAACTGTAATTTATTTTATCAATGCACAACATCTGAAGAAACCGGAGATGTTAATGTCATGGTATTAGCTTGTAAGAATAACACAGTATACGACGAAGAAAAAATTCAGTGTCTACCTCCAGGTTCGTTCTCTCTTCTTCTTTTTTTCACAGTTTGATAAAATCAAAACTAAATAATAATAATAATAATAAAATTTAATCTTAACTGTATTTAACGCAGAAAGTCCAGAATGTCGTCGACAAAGTAGAAAATTTTCAAAACGAGATGTTGGAGATTTGTCATCCGTGGTAATCGTTCCTCCGAATAAAAGACTGTGTCCGAGGGAAGGTTCATTTCCCTACGAAGGCGATTGTTTAAGATATTATAAATGCACAAGAGAAAGTAACGGAAAAATTCAAGGTCAGTCAAAATGAAAATTTATTATTATTATTACTTTTTTTAATTAGCACAAGTAAACTTACAAAAAAAAAAAAAAACAAATTTTCTTATTAATTAAATAACAGGACGCGTTTATCAATGTCCCGACAACCATTCATTTTCCGAAGCAACAAGTCGATGTGAAAAAACGGCAACGTTGCCAAAATGTACAAGATCCATAAAGGAAGCAACACCGAAACGATTAAAATGGATGAAATCAAAAGTTCCAATGGAACAACAACACTCCGACGAACTTTAACACTTTATTAATATTTAATAGTTTCCTTTTTTTTCCTTTGACTTTATCTGTTGGAGAAAAAAAACGATACTCTTCGATCAAACGAATTGACTATTATTTTTTTTTATTTAAATAATCGGAGGAAATCCTACAGGATTACCAACTGTCATATTAATTGTACTTAAAAATTTTTTTTTTTTTTCCTTTGACATTATATAAAACGATTACGTTTTTATTACAGGCTAGCAATAAACGAACGAACGAACGAACAATAAAATTTCATTTGAATAAATAACGTTATTTATTTTTTTTTTTTTGTCAAAGGAATTTAAATTCTTTTAACCAAAGATTTTTTTTTTTTTTTAAAATTTAAGGGATGATTTTTTAAATTGTTGTTAACAAACAAAAACAGGTGATGGGTAACGAATTGTATCGTTTTTTTTTTATTTATTTATTTACATAAACAGATTTAAATAAATAAATAAATAAAGTTAATTTTTTTTTTATTATTTAACGTTTATTATTATTATTATTCGTGCAATATTTAATTTAAAATTTTTCGTCGCGGTTTCGTGATTAATAATAATAATAATAATAAATAAATCGAAATAAATAACATTTCGTTCGTATTATTATTATTATTATTATTATTATTATTATTATTATTATTTTATTATTATTATTATTATCATTAATTATAAATAAAAAAACGAATTTATTGTTTTAATTTATGTTTAAATTATTGTTTGCCATTTTTTTAAAATAATAATAATAATATTTTTTACCGTTAATAAAAAAAATTATAAAAAAAAAATTTCAAGATTTTATTTATTCGAACCTGAAAACGATTCCTTATTTATTACCTGATAAACTATTTTATCCCGATAGGTATTCTACTCATTAAATAAATAAATCGGATTTCGAAATAATGATAATGATAATGATTATTAATTATTATTATCATTATTATTATTTAAAAAAAATTTTTTTTTTAAACTATTTTTTAAAAAAATTTTTTATTACGTAATTACGTAATTATTAAATCCCTTTTTTTATTTTATTATTTTACTTAATATTAATAATAATAATAAATAGGAAAAAATAATTCTTATTAATTTTACATATATATAATCCGCCATTTTTAATAAAAAAAGATAGAAGATGAGATAGAAATATATTTATGTATCGTATTCACATTCATTATTTAAAAAAAAAAAAAAAAACTTTAAGGCGATTGAATAAAAAAAGTGATTTTGCGCTCTAATTTATTTTTTTTATTAATGTTAAATCCTATTTATTATTTTTTTTTTTTTTGGGGGGGGGGAATCCCCTAAAAATGACATTTTATTAACATATATATAAATAAATAAATCTATTATCATTATTATTATTATTATTTATTTATTTACTAAAAAAAAAAAAAGATTTTGATTCGATGTAAGTTTATTTTTTTTATTATTATTCGATACTTATTAATTTAATTTATTATTAAAATAATAATAATAATTTATGTAAATTTATTTATGTAACATAAAATTTATTTAATAAATAAATAAAAACTATTTCGATTCCATTAATAAGCAAAAAAAAAAAAAGAAAAAAAGCAAAAGAAGAGAAAAAATTTTATCCTTACATAGAGATATTTTATAGTTTCAAGGTTTTTTTTTTTTTTTTCATTACGTTTAAAATTACATTATCGATTTTATTAACGATTTTCAATTTTTATTATTATTATTACAACAAACTACCATAAATACATATATGTACATAATTTTTTAAAAATCGTGTAAGAAGCAACAACAACAAATAATAATTTTTTTTTAAATGAAATATTTATTATGTTAAACAAGATTTTCTTCTTCCTTTCTTTTCTTTAAGAGAGGGAGAGAGAGAAAGAGAGGGTGGGGGTAAGGGGTTTTAAATCTTAAAGAAATTTAAAATCAATTTAATTCTAATTATTATCTTTGACAAAAAACAAAATATATATATATATATATATTTAAGAGAGAGGAAAAAAAAACAAAAATAAAATTAAAATAATTTTCTGCTCCATTTTTTTCAATCTTACACATGAACGAACACTCGAACGATTTTTCCTTATTTTTTTTTTTTTATTGTATTCAACGCCATCTTTTGATTTTTTTTATAAGTTCAAGAAAAAAAAAAATTTTTTTTTTTGCTGATTTTGCACGTGAAAATTTTTTTTTTTTTTTTTTCAATAAACAATATATGTAATCTGAACAATAATTATTAGTTATAAAAAAATCCGGGTTATTAAACAATTGTAAATTTATTTATTTATGTTATAAACAAAATCGTGAAAATAATAATAATAATAATAATAATAATAATAATAATAATAAATTGTTTAAATTAAATAAAAAAATAAAAAATTAATTTTTTGCGATCCTGTCGTCACCGTCACCGTCGTCGTCATCATCGTCGTCATCGCAGTTTTTTTTTTTTTTTTTTTCGTACCTTGAAAATCGGATACCCGTGTTAAAATAATAATAATAATAATAATAAATTACGCGTAATTTAATAATAATGATTAGAATTTTTTTGCTGATTCCTGTCGCGGAAAAATGCGTAGGATCAATTTATTAATTTACCTGATTAATCGATAAAAAAAAAAATTATTAAAATGAAAAAATAAAGTTTTTTTTTAATATATAGTTAAGTTGTTACGGTGTTTGTTTTATATTAATAATTATCATTATTATCACCTTCGGTAAGTCACAAACAAATTAATAAATTTTAATTAATAGAATTTTATTAACGCGATAAAATAAATAAATAAAAATTTTAATTTTTTCTCTATTAGCTCCGGTAGCGTAGCCCTTTCACCTTTCTCTCTTTCTTTTCCCTCGGGCTTACCACCCGCTACCGACAACTATTTAATAACAAATTTAAATTTTTAATAATAATAATAATAACAATAACAAACATTATAATCATCATCATCATCGTTATTATTTTTTCGAAAATCGTTCGGTCGACGGAAGAAAATAAAATAAAAAGATAATTTATAATTACTAGCGAACCACGAAATGAACATTTAAAATTCAAATCAGGTTCTTAAATTAATTTTTTTTTTTTCTTAAAATAAGATGGGAAAAGATTTACGAGTTCGGGAAAAATGTCAAAGGAAAAAAAAGGAAAAAAAAAGGAAAAAAAAAAGAAAAAAAAAAAGAAAAATTTTTTCAACCCTAACCACAAATAATAATTATCGTTAAAAAAAAAAAAAAAACTTAAAATTTTATTTCGTGACGAAAGGAAAAAACTTTTAAAAAAAATTATTATTATTATTATTATTATTATCATCATCATTATCGACCCATTATTATTATTAATTAATTGATCTAGATTTTAGCGGCGGGGGGGGGGGAACGATAAAACGTATTAAGAAATTCGTTAAAGAGAAAAAAAAAATTATTGTAATAAAATCATAAACAACAACCGGAAATCATCAAAAAAATAAAAATAAAATTTTGGCGGGAAAATAATTTTAAAAATAAGCGAAATGTGTCGTTTAATTACAAATATTTTAAAAAAAAAAAAAAGTGACTGATGATAAATTTCCTTTTGTTTACTTTTTTTTTTATATATACAATTAGTACGAATGTAAACAAAACATTTAAATAATACAAAAATATTATTATTATTATTAATAACTCGACGAAAAATGAAATAAATAACAATTTTCTTTTTTTTTTTTTTTTCTTTTAGGTATTTTACATATATATAAATATATAAACCATTCGTAGTGTTTATTTATATATATATTTTGATAATAAATAAATAAATAAATAAAAAGGGAAAGGAATGAATCTTCCAGAAGATCGTCATCCACTTTTATACGTGTACGTTGACGTGGATCATCAACAACCGGGAAAAATAAGGAGTAGATGCATATCACGTGGTGCTTCTGTTGTTTTGGGAAAATGGCCGGATCATTTAACATTCAGTTGGGTTTTGGGCGTTTTGGGTCTCGTTTCTCTTCTCACTTGTTTTCTTTTGGTTATTGTTGCCCTTGCCATGTCGTCTTCCGGTCATCACAATGGAAAAAGGGCTTTGATTGATAAATGCGAAAGAAACGCACACGTCGTACAATGTGAGTAAATTTTTTTCCTGAAAAATTTTCCTCCTCCTCGTCGTCGTATCCACATATGCGAAACACACACACACATAATTAAATTGAATCCACCTTGACCCGGTTATTATTTTTTCTTTTGGCTTTGTTATTATTATTATTATTTTTTGTTTAAATAATTTATTCGAGTAAACAATACCGTATTGGTTATCATCATTATTATTATTAATTTAAACCGTTTATTTAAGATTTTATATGCGTGTGTGTGTGTGTGTGTTTGAGTAAGGAAACTTTGGGGCAATAACGTTTTGTGAGAAAGAGAGGGAGGGAAAGGGGAGAGGTGGGGGAGAGAGAGAGAGAGGGGGGGGTTATCGAAATTTATTATTATATAATTTTAGTATAATTAAAAGGTTTTGCTTTTCTTGTTTTTGTTCCAGTCGTTCACATGAAAAATTTAGAAGATTTGACCATAAATGAAAACGCAACGTATTTCGTTGAAATATACATAAACGAAACAAAAGCAAATGAAAGTTTATGTTCGGTTGAATCGTACCTGAGACAAACGTCATCTCCGGTTTATCTGGTTCTTATACTATCAAATTCATCATCCAATAATGAAAATATAAAATTATATGAAAAACTCGAGAAAACGTATAAAAACTTTATGACGATCACATTCGATTTGAATACATTTTTTAATAAAACATTATTTGCCGATATACAAACAAACGATCCAATATTTCTTAAATTTTTAGCTAAAATATTAATTTCGTGGAACGTCGGCGGTACCGTTACGGATACAACAATACTAACCCTTAATAATTTCGATAAATTATTAAATAATGATAATTCGGACATGATCATAGGAATCCACGATGGACAACTCGTTTTATTATCGACAAAAAGATTTTGTCACGCTTACATATTCGATTTGTTAAAAACAATTTCCGAAACTAGAAACATATTAAAATATTCACAAATAAACATAATTGATGCGGCTAAAAAACGTTTTTGCCGCGGTTTATGGAATTGCGCCGGTATTAAATTTTTATCAACTTCAACGTTTTGCTATGCGAAAAATATTCACTACCACTATTATTATTATTATTTTAATAATGATGATAATTGTACATTTTTATTACCCGAAACGAGGGAAACGAACGATAATAATAATAACAATAATAATAGTCATAATAATAATAATAATAATACCTCCGGATTAATACGTTTAAATTATGAAAAATTATGTCCGATCGTAATGATGATGACTTCATCATCCCTTTTGTAAATCGTTCAACTATAAACGATACACGCACAGCAAAACCTTTTTTTTTGTGTGCTATTAATAATTTATTATTATTATTATTATTATGTAATTCTGCATGTAATATTTAAAAATAAAAAAATAAAAAAAAATACAAAACAGTATGTGAAAAAAAAATTGTGATGAAATGAACGAACGACATTTAATTCTCGTTTTATTATTATTATTTTTTTTTTGCTTATTAACGAGAGCAAAAATATTATTTTATTGTACATAAATAAAATAAATAAATAAATAAATAACCGTGACTTATTATTGTGATAATATATGTATATATATATTTTTTTTAATAAATAAATAAATATGTATGATCAAATAAAAATTCATTACCTTTTCATTAATTATTTATTATTTATTATGATTATTTAAATTATTATTATTATTAATTTCGTTACCCAAAAATAATAATAATAATTAATAAATAAATTTTGAATGAATTATGTATAATTATTAATTGAACGAATTTAATGAATTTTTTTTTTGGTTTAATAAAATTTTTAATAAAAAAATATGGATTTATGTGCATACACACACCGATTAGAATTTATTTTTCTCTTTATTATCATTATTACTATTATTAATAAGAAAAATACAAATAAATTTTATTTATATATATACATATAATGATAATAAAATAAATATAAATAAAAATAAAATAAATAAATTATTTATTATCGAGTCCGAGTTGTAGTAGTAAGAAAGCTCTTAAATTTGGATCGCGAACTTTTTCATTAATTTTATTTTTAGCAATGACGTCACCATTTTCAAAATGACGTCCTAATTCCTGTGCATATTTTATCCAAACGCAATTTGAACATGCTGAATTGCAACAGCATTCGGTCGTGGGTTCCGGTGGCAAATCATATTTTTTACCCAAAACTAAATTTTCCTCATCATTTTTTTTATTATTATTATTATTTTCACATTTTTCTCCTCCTTTATCACTCGTATTATTACTATTGCTCGCGTTTAATCTAAACGACCAATAATTAATTAATTGATTTGTAACGATTTTAACATTTTTCGTAACTCTCAATAAATAAAATGAATTTTTTATGCACGACATAACAAACGATAAAAAAAAAAAAAAAAAAACAAAAATAATTCAAAAAATTTTCCACGATGGTAATTTCCCGTCCTCCCAAAAAAAAAACAACAACAAAAATTATTTATTAATAATATAAATAAATAAATAAATAAAATTTGTTTTAGAATTTTTCGCTGCTTTTAGGTTATTTGAATAACATCAAATAAAATAATAATAATAAAACGCCATGTTTTTTTTCCCCTTTTTTTGTCAATTACAAGCTACCACCTGAAGAATGTAACAAAGTTAAAACAATGTTTAAAAAAAAATTAAAAAACTAATTATTTTTTGTAAAAAAACAATAATTTATTTATTTACAAATCGAATAAATTATCTATTAAAAAAAAATAAATAAATAAATAAATATATAAATAAAAAATTCCAATTGTATAAAAAAAAAGGAAAAATGACTTAATCATAAATCGCACATGGAAACATATTTTCTAAAAAAACAAAACACTTGAAACCAATTATGTATTACGATACCTGAAAAAGTGGAAAAGTGCAAATGTAAATTATAATGAAGTTATTATTATTATCGTAATAAGAAAACAAACGACGAGTAACAACAAAACAAACCTGACATGAAAATTTCGGTTCTATTTATTGTAAGACCTTCAGCAAACAAACGCATACCAAAAAAAACAGATTCAAGTGCAACAATCATGGCTTCCATCATAAGCCAAGGCATTAATAAAGCAGGATTAGTCTTCAAAAAAAAAAAAATAATAATAATAATTTAATCTTTTCTTTATTTTTTTTTTAATCATGGAAAAAAAACTCTTTTCGTACCTGTAAAACTCCAAAAATCATGAGCACGTAATGTTCGACGCTTAATATAGTAACCATAAGTTTTAAATCTCTTTCAGCTTCGCGACTAACTAAAAATTATTATTATTATTATTATCATTATTATTATTAATAATAAATTTTTTATAGGATTTATTTGTAAAACCTAAATTTTGATTTCCACGTCGAATTCTATTCCTCCAAAGAGAATCCGATGACGAACCCCTACAATCGGAAAAAATAATATCCATTATGTCTTAACGGCGACTA